TCGTATGATTTCGTGACGTTAGCTCAGTAATTTGATGGATAAACATTATTTATCAATCAAATTGACTTTCATACGGCTTAATCGACGCGGAATCGTTTGGTGGTCACGAATATAATCAGTAAAACGTTTGGTGGTCAACCGTTTTCCCAGAAAAAAGAAAAAACCGTATGCTCACGCCATTGGTCGTATGACTCTGTGCTATTAGTCAGAAAAATTGTATTTGGCACCCAAATTGACTTTGATAGGGCTCAATCGACGCGGAATCGTTTGGTGGTCACGAATATTGTCATTAAAACGTTTTGTGGTCAACCGTTTTCCTAAGAAATAAAAAAAACCGTACTCTCACGCCATTGGTCGCATGATTCCGTGACGTTAGCTCGGTAATTTGATGGATAAACATTATTTATCAATCAAATTGACTTTCATACGGCTCAATCGACGCGGAATCGTTTGGTGGTCACGAATATCGTCATTAAAACGTTTGGTGGTCAATCGTTTTTCTAAGAAATAAAAAAAACCGTACTCTCACGCCATTGGTCGTATGACTTCGTGACGTTGCTCGGTAATTTGATGGATAAACATTATTTATCAATCAAATTGACTTTCATTCGGCTCAATCGACGCGGAATCGTTTGGTGGTCACGAATATCGTCATTAAAACGTTTGGTGGTCAATCGTTTTCCTAAGAAATAGATAAAACCGTACTCTCACGCCATTGGTCATATGACTCCGTGACGTTGTTAGCTCGGTAATTTGATGGATAAACATTATTTATCAATCAAATTGATTCCATACGGCTCAATCGACGCGGAATCGTTTGGTGGTCACGAATATAATCAGTAAAACGTTTGGTGGTCAACCGTTTTCCCAGAAAAAAGGAAAAACCGTATGCTCACGCCATTGGTCGTATGACTCTGTGCTATTAGTCAGAAAAATTGTATTTGGCACCCAAATTGACTTTGATAAGGCTCAATCGACGCGGAATCGTTTGGTGGTCACGAATATTGTCATTAAAACGTTTGGTGGTCAACCGTTTTCCTAAGAAATAGAAAAAACCGTACTCTCACGCCATTGGTCGCATGACTCCGTGACGTTAGCTCGGTAATTTGAGGGATAAACATTATTTATCATTTCTGTTACAGTTATTAAGCGTTTAAGTTAACAAAACATAAATAATTTGTTAAAGCAGAGAATAGTTGGTATGTGAAAAGTACACATAAATATGTACTTACCAAACAGACAGTTGTCACGTGACCTTCTTTTGCATGCGCGTGCGGCTACGGAGCATGCGCATGTGGCCGCAGGGCATGTTCGTGGTCGCTACCAGTCGCTACATTGGGTGCGTTCAGCCGATACTCCGCTAGCCTAGCAATCGTGAGCAGTCGCTCGTTTTCGCTCGTTTTCGCTCGTTTCCTCTCCTTTGACCCAATGGATTAAAAAGAGAGGAAACAAGCGCTCGCTTCTGTCCAGCCAAATTTTTCCGTAGCAAATGGTAGCAAAGCGCTCGCTGCTTACGTGCGCTAGGCTAGCGGAGTATCGGCTGAACGCACCCATTGCGTCGGTATGACAGGTCTCATAACCTGATAGTCGTCAACTTTAACAGTTAATATCTCGTGTCGCGGGGCCGAGCGGGGCTTTTTTCTGCCAGATTCGTTCGTTTTGTGCAAAAACGAATCGATTAAGCCTAATTTCATCGAAATCGGTGAGGAGGGAGCTCTCCTTCAGTTTTACCATTTTCAGTACTGACAGTGGCTGACAAGTAAATATCGGAATGCAGCCAAATACTAGAGCTCTAAAATACTACGTTTACGCGAGCGTTACTTCTGTAGTAACTTATGATAATTTACCCGTTTACGCGAAGGAATTATCGTAAGTTACTACAGAAGTTAACGCTCGCGTAAACTTAGTAACAGCAAACATGGGTAAAAAAACGGAGCGCTCCTCTTCCGTACCTCCGTGGCTCCGTATTCCGCGATCTATTGTTACCGTGTAATTCATGCCTTTCTCGGCGCATAAAGTGGCGCAAACTTCAGAGGATACGACAGGCACGAGCACGGGATGGGTCGGTGAAGTCCCGATCAACGTTTTCCTCAACGTTTTTTTCTCGTCGATATGTGACGTGGCGTCAAATGAATACCACCTACCACCCTTTGTCATTCTGTTGTTTCATCGCGGGTATCCGTGTTCTTCCATCGTTCTCTCGGTCGTCGTCGATTTTTTTCAAGTATTTCTAAAGTGAGACTATCCGAATCCGCGATATTCTTGACAGCGCACGTATTGGCCGACAAAATTCAAACTCACTGAGAAAACCGAGAATTCCCAAAGTGATGAGCCGCCGTCAAGACGCCGATATGGATTTGTTGTTTTTCTCTTCCATAGACGAGGCCACGAAGATGTGGCTCGATACCCTGCATCGAATGTGGGCGCTGTGTAAGCATTTGATTCAATTTTTTCCCCCCGTACGTTTTCATCATCTTTATCGCCTAGCATTAAACGTGCATATTCGTATCAATCGCAGGGAAAAAATGCGACGGTGTCAGTAAGACATTGACGGATTACTTCGAGACGGCACCAAATCCGTATCTCAGCACGTTGAGAATTCTTGTCAACGTATCCGATTTTGATCACATGACGAACAGCAAGTCACTTGCGTTTGCAGGTTTATCTTTTAACTATTTTATAGCTTTTCCAATACGTAATTTATATACTTGCAGTATATAATTTATATAACCTTGAAATATATATATTTTATATATATATATATATATATATATATATATATATATATATATATAT